TCATGTTGCTGCTGATCTGTTTCATGTTGCTGCTGATCTGTTTCATGCTGCTGTGTTCATTCGTGTTCATCTGCTCACACAGACTCATGTTCGTGCTGCTGTTCGGCGTATTGTTATTGTACTTAGTGCTTAGTGTATTTTTAGTTGATGTTTTTCTTAGTTCATATCTTGGATCTTATTACTGTTTTTCTTTTACATTTTATACTTTTGTTGGGTGTAACTGGGACCCTGTGTACACAATTTCGTTCCACCACATGTACCACATGTGATGCATATGACAAATGAAGAAACTTTGACTTTGACAGAAGCAAAACCTTCAGAAATGAAGCTACAAGTGAAAAGAGGCTGAAAATAACGAAGTTTCAGGAGGACAACGTAAAAGAACCAACAATTAAGTGCAATAAAAAACATTAACGGTAGCTGAACTGGACAACTTTCATCAGTTTTTATAGTTTCAACACTTTGGCTTTTATCTTTTTCATAGCAAACTAAACCTAAAGGACCAACAACAGCGCCAAGACAAGCTGGAATAATGAAACTTGGACTGATTTGAAGTGGTACCAACCTGACTCTGTCTACTTGTAAAGCATGGATACAGAGCCCAAAAAGGCTGCCCATAAATCACAATACTTTATAACAACTGACATGTTTACTGTCTTCTTTCAAGCCATTTAGTGCCATAAAAATCAGGAAACAGATGAAAATGAAGCAGTTTTTGTCATTTTTCTTTTTCAACTATTTTACTTTAATCCATCTTATAATTGTCCTGATTTGAACAGGTGTGAAGGCACAGAGATGGGAAATATTATAATAATAGAACTTGCAAAATAATGCGTGGGTTATTGGTAACTACTGTTAGAAGACGGTATATTTGGATTAGTACAGTTGTTGGAAGGTTGTTTTGTTCAACAAATCTTGTTTGCCTTTCCTCAACAGGTCCTAGCTTGACTGGGTCAAAAAGCCACAGGACATCTTGTAAATAAGGCTGGTAAAGCATGACATAACAAGAGACGTTTCAAACGGAGGGACAGGAGCTGCATTTTGTCTTTAGTGACATTTCTTGCACCAGAGGACGCGGCAAACATGACGTCATCTCCAAACAAAATCACACAGACTCACTCTCCATCACCCACTTCATTAGTAAAAAGTACATTTGTTCTATTTGCACAATTCTATGGTAAATGAGTGGTCATGTTTTCACCCAGTACTGCCAAGTCCACATTCGGGTCCAGGTATCAGATCAGGGAGGACCACAAAGTCCAACTGAGACATCCAGCTGGATCTTTAAGTTTTATAATAAAGTTTCTCTGTAAATGAATTCAATCGATCCGTGCTCTTGTTGAAGCGTAAGAAACTGTCGCAGATGATGCTCCTCAAGTCCATTTGAAGAAAAGCTCCACTGCTCAAGGGACATTTGGGACGTGTTGGTCTTTTTCACCTAAGATGGAAGCGTCTATCCAAGTTTTTACAGAATGCATTTGCATATCCACAGATTTAAGTCTCCTACATATTCCTTGGGTTCAAGACCAGTCCCTCCCATCATGAACACCTGTGCAAACTGGTTTCCATGTGGATCTACAGACTTGTTTCTCTTAGAAACATGGTGCCGATGCTGTAAGAGACTTTCCTCATAGAGGCCGGAGGCGCGGAGCGAGAGCTGGTAAGGGAGGCGTGGCTATGGGATGTCCCCGCCTCCAGGAAGTAACACGTCCCTGGGATCTCTTTGGGAAAATTATCTGGGAGTTCCTGGCGTGAGCGAGGGACAAAAGAAAAAGAGCGGTCGTCCTTTAACAACCTGTTGAGAAAACAGAAGGAAAACTGACTGAAAAACATGAAACAACAATCTACCAGCATCTCCATTAAAACAACTTTTGTTATTTTAACAATAACAGAGACTAATTGGTTTAGACTGCGTCATTTATACATCTACAAGCAGACTTGTGTAGGTACTTACTGATATGTTGTTGGACTAACATTGATGCACCTCGGATGACTTCCTGATTCAAACTTGCTGGCTAGAGTCACGTTGTTCCCAAACAGACAGTAGCGTGGCATTTTAACCCCGACCACGCCTGCCAGGACTGAACCTGTGTGGATACCTATTCTAAGCTAAGGAAGAGATGGGGGGGGGGGGGACAGGAGAGACATGAGAGTGATGACGTGTCAGCCAACTCTTTAAATTGTTTGTGATATTCCTTCTAACTTTTGCACTTTCCATTTCTATACATTGTTTTTACAACATGATGTGATTGAAAATGTGAGAATATAAGGAGATGAATGAAATAATAGTTTAGCTCTTAGTTTTCTGATTTTAAACTAAAACAAGACAGAGCGTGTGGTTTTTGGACCTGAGCACCTTAGGGATTAATTTTCAGTCTTTCTCCCTCCTTAGATGGCATTAATCTGTCCTCCAGCTCTAATGTTAAAAATCTTGGTGTTATTTTTGATCAGGACATGTCTTTTATCCCCCACATTAAAAACGTTACTAGAACTGCCTTCTTCCACCTGCGTAATATCACTAAAATTA